ATAACCACTGATCCTATTATCACTTCTACTAATCTGGGATTTGTCTTAAGAGTTTTGTTCTGCAGTGCTAATATAGTGTAGTAACTTGAATCGATACAGATCTGTACTAGATTTTTTGTTGTAAATGACTGTATGACTTAGGGAACACTATGGTAAACATGGGACAATTGTATGACACGACAAAGAAACTCTCTGGAAATCGCCGCAAACCTGAACGACCAGTCAAAAGCAAGGAAGGCGAGGTAATCACCAACATTGAAGAGCAACAAAACAGGTGGGTAGAACACTTCAAAGAACTCTTGAATCGACCAGCCCGACTGAACCCACCCAACATCGAAACAGCACCCACGGACCTCCCAATCAAAGTTGGCCCACCAACAATTGAAGAAATCAGCATGGCCATCAGACAAATCAAGATTGGGAAATCAACAGGACCAGGCAACATTCCAGCAGAGGCACTAAAAGCAGACGTATCGGCAACTGCAAGGATACTCCACATTCTCTTCAATAAGATTTGGGATGAGGAACAAGTACCAAAAGACTGGAAAGAAGGACTTCTGATCAAAATACCGAAGAAAGGCGATCTCAACAAGTGTGATAACTACAGGGGCATCACTCTTCTCTCAATACCGGGAAAAGTCTTCAACAGCGTATTGTTAAACAGGATGAAGGACTGCGTAGACGCCCAACTTCGTGACCAACAGGCAGGATTCCGTAAGGATAGATCGTGTACAGACCAAATCGCAACTCTACGGATAATTGTGGAACAATCAATTGGATGGAATTCATCACTCTACATCAACTTCATTGACTACGAAAAGGCATTTGATAGCGTGGACAGAACATCACTATGGAAACTTCTTCGATACTACGGCGTGCCTCAGAAGATAGTCAATATCATACAGAACTCATATGATGGATTACACTGCAAAATCGTGCATGGAGGACAGTTGACAAAGTCGTTCGAAGTGAGGACCGGTGTTAGACAAGGTACTTACTCTCACCCTTTCTCTTTCTCCTGGTGATCGACTGGATCATGAAGACGTCAACATCTGAAGGGAAGCACGGGATACAATGGACATCTAGGATGCAGTTGGACGATCTAGAATTCCCAGATGATCCAGCCCTTCTATCCCAAACGCAACAACAAATGCAGGAGAAGACGACTAGTGTGGCGGCAGCCTCAGCAGCAGTGGGTCTCAATATACACAAAAGGAAAGGCGGGATTCTCCGATACAACACAGCATGCACCAATTCAATCACAATTGACGGAGAAGATTTGGAAGATGTAAAAACCTTTACGTATTTGGGCAGCATCATTGATGAACACGGTGGATCTGATGCAGATGTGAAAGCGCGGAACGGCAAAGCAAGAGCAGCATATTTACAGCTGAGGAACATCTGGAGCTCAAAGCAAATGTCAACCAACACCAAGGTCAGGATTTTCAATACAAATGTCAAGACAATTCTACTGTATGGGGCAGAAACCTGGAGAACTACAAAAGCCATCATCCAGAAAATACAGGTGTTTATTAACAGTTGTCTACGCAAAATACTTCAGATCCATTGGCCGGACACTATTAGCAACAACGTACTGGCGAGAGAACAAACCAGATCCTAGCGGAGGAAGAAATCAGGAAGACTGGTTGGGAGTGGATAGGACACACATTGAGGAAAGCATCGAACTGCGTCACAAGACAAGCCCTCACATGGAATCCTCAATGCCAAAGGAAAAGAGGTAGACCAGAGAACACATTACGCCGGGAAATAGGGATAGACATGAGAAAAATGAACAAGAATTGAATGGAACTAGAAAAGAATGCCCAGGACGGAGTGGGTTGGAGAATGCTGGTTGGCGGCCTATGCTCCATTGGGAGTAACAGGCGTAAGTAAGTAAGTAGTGATAAACATGTCTACTGAACACTTTAAGGTGAAATAAGAGGGTAACTTTGCTATTTCAGAAAAATTAACACACTGAATGAAATACATTATTTATGTTGGTCGTTCACGGTATCGATCATCTTAAACATGACTGTATGTAAAATGATATGGTTTATTTTCATTTACTTCCCTGATGAGTATTGATATTCACAACACTCAATGTTTTCATATTTTTTTTATCCTTTTCATTTGAAGACATCTAAAATTCAATGAAATTAACTCAGTTTCTTTTACTTTTACAATCTATCATGATTTATTAATTCATAAATAATTGTTATCTATTATATCAAATTTCATTATAAACCGATTTTTTTATTGTTGTAATCCTCCTTCATGTACTTATTCACTGTATTTTGTGTGGGCAGTGGTAAATGGATTTTGTGGCTGTCATACTTCAATTCTAGTTTGTGTATGAGTAAATAGTTGATGTTTCACTAAAACACTGAACATTTTATGGATTATTCTTGTTATATCCTGATAAGAATAATGAATGATAATTCTTGGGATCCATTTATGGACCAGTACTATGAGTATATTTTCATCGTATAATTGTTATGTAACTAAACTGTTCATATTCACGTCCCTCTTATTATGAGATTTATTTTGACCTATGAACTATTATTATACGATTTACAATTCTTGAATTATTCCCTGTCTGTTAGTCACTACCTCCCTCAATCATAGCCACATTTGGCCAAATATTGTACAAATGTTGTTTCCTATTTTATGGTACGATGTGGTCTGTTTGATTGGTATATAAACCCCGTATGTTTGAAATATATGATTCATATTGCAGAAGCTGAGATTGGTGTTCTGGGCACAACTGCCTGGGCTAGGCAGGAAGAAGGACCAATAAATACTCTAGACTGCTCGCACGGGTTTAAGGCGTCATTGATCCGATCGGTAATTCACTGTGCTCTAATTGGCGGTATCATCACGTATACATTAACAGGGCACACAGGCCACAAGTTATAGCAATTATCTTACCAAACATTTGAATTCAACAAATGTAAAATTATCTAAAATCAACCAACATATTTATTTTATAGTTTACATCACGGACTGGACTTAATTAAACAACCATTGGAAACTAAGATGATTTATCCCTATCTAATGAAGTTTTCATTTCGAGCTAACAACTCACATGAATATATAACAATTATGTGCGTTTTAGAAACCCGTTTAGAGGTTGTTTTTATTCAGAAATTATATTGGGGAGTTGTGAACATCTTTGAGTCATTATTTGTTTGAATTTTATTTCTGTCTTTATTATTTCAATTTCTTTCTAACATTTATCATAGTATTTTTAATTACTATTGTTTGAGTAGAATAGTGTTTTAGTGGGTTTTTTCTCCATGGAGAACTACCACAACCATCATCAAAAACGTACAAGTATTTATTAACATTTATCTACAAAAGATACTCAATGTTCATTGGCCGCATACCACCAGCAACAGTCCACAATGGAAGACAACAAATCAAATTCCAGTTGAGGAGGAAATTAGAAAGAGACATTGGAACTACATAGGAAACACATTGAGCAAATCACTAAACTGCATCATGAAGCAATGGCTGACATGTAATCCTGAATGGAAACGTAGAAGTGAGAGGTTGAATAACATACTGCACCAATAATTGGGAGCAGACATGAAAAGGATGAATAGCAAGTGTAAAGAATTGGAAATGATTGTTTGTGACAGAGTTGGATGGAGAGTACTGTTGGGTGGTCTATGCTCCTCCATGTGTGGGGTGGGGGTAACAGACATAAGTAAGCAAGGTACAGTAGTACTTAAATTTGCATTTATAAATGCTTCACTTGATAGAATGCTTCAATCAACTTTGCAATATAAAAATAAAATTTGAGTATTTTGGTTACTCTTGTATCAATCGGTGATGATATTATATCTGAATTCAATGTGTTCTCTTAACAGAAATTTTGAATTAAAGCAAGATACAGCCAGGATATTTTAAAACCATGTAACTAAGCTGTCCAATTCCCTATTTGAGTTACTAAATTAGGCATCCATAATGTAATACTGAACGAAACGACTGGTGACAATATGCCAAAAAGTTGTATTAAATAATCTTCTTACTCAGTGATTAATAGTGATTACTGTTCATCCATATAAATAAATGTAGTCATTACTAGATTATCTCCGACAAGGCCGAACTCAACTTGTCAGATTACACTAGAACTCTGACAATTTTTTCTAGAAATTAGTTATTAGAGAGTACACACTTACCATTAGTGTAAGGGATTAGTGGTGATTTTTAAGTTTTATAGTTTGCATCCGGAGTTGAGTTTAGTTAATTAACCACTAAAAACTAGGAAGCAGTAGGAAGTTGTTACATTTTATTATTAGATTACTCAGTAGTTTACATTCATGACTTGACCAGGGATCGAGGGCAGATTCATCAGGTCCTGTGTCTAGAGCTCATCTTGACTTCATATTAGTACTTCTGTAGAGTCACATACTAGGACGAAACAGCGGTTCAGTGGTTCCAAGTTTACGATGGTGGTCTAGCACTGATTGGTTCATAATCTCACAACCCTATACTGATAATTATTATGTGCTCATTAACAACTAGTTTCGAGAGGGAATTCTAAGAATTCTAATGAGAAGCCGTTTATACTTCTAACAGTAGGATATTTTTGGAGTCAATTGTCCTTTAATCATACAACATTTGACAGAAAAGCCAGTACAATACATAGACACATCACTTACATTTGATCTATTCATGGTTTCATCAAGGAAATATTTAATAAATTAATTCAATTAACCAATAGATAACAGACTAATGTCACCAATCAAATTAAAAACTTATAATAAACCAATAAACTTTTAATTGTATTTTGCCAAATATTTTAATTGGTTAATTAAAAACCATATGTTGATGAGTCGATAATATTTATTTCAATCCTTCTTAGAGTTAATCAAAATGTTCATATTGTGAATTACTTTCAACAACTCTCCTAACTTATGATGTAATCTATCGAGATTCAGCATAGAAAGAATTGTTGTTTGTTAAAGGGGATTTAAAACTAACTTTTGAAAAGTATGTATCAACCTAATAACAATAATAATAATACTTCTCATTATTGTCCAGAATACTCAATGGGGAATTGTTCATTATGTAACCACACAAATTATGGTAATGAATATTTACATTCAGAAAACGACACTAATAGTGATACTTCATTCCAAAATTTGTATAATATGTCAAACTCTTTATCATATCCACTACTTTGCAGGGAATTTCATAATACACTAACTACTAATACTGATTCTCAAAATATAGCTTCAGCAGATACAATGCAATCAGATATATCAACAAATTATGATACTACATTATTGATGAATACAATAAGAGATTTTGGATGGCCATATTTTGAAAAATCCACTTCTGCTTTTTCATTATGTTCACATGGAAAATCCAATTTCAGTTCAAGTTATCGTGATTGTCGTCTGCGTTACATTAAACAAACAAGAAAACTACAAAAATATCTTCGTGTTACACCTGAAGGTCATATATTAGTGAATAATCCGAAAATTGAACATCACCATATACTACATCATAGTTTACATCAATCACCTGGTACTCAATCTTACAATAATTCCAAAATCAATACATTGGAATGTAAAGGTAACTTAAGTAAATTTACTACAAATGGTCAGGATTTATGCAATAATCCTTTTGGTTCATTAATTAGCACACCAAAAATTAAACGTATATATACAGCATTTTGGAATTTGGAACCACGTGAAAGTATCTCTGTACACAAATTACCTTCATCAAAGACTACAACATTTACAGAATCAACAAATTCATCCCTGAATCATTATACAAATGGTTATGATTACTTAAATACTACTAATCATGAACAAATTGATGAGTTGGAATTCCCAACGCATAATAATAATGATAACAATAAGGATATTACACCAAACACTCCACAGCAGTTAGAACCTTTAATTGAAGATTCTATAAACGATAAAATAACAGATTATCAGATCTAGTCATGAAATCAAAATAATTTAGAATATATTTATATATTTTTATTTATTTCCTTTTCAATTCATTACTTCGCCCTAATTTATTAAAACGAAAACAATTAAAATCAACAATAGATTATTCTCTTAGATCTGTATACATATGCATATTTTTTATGTACATAACAAAATGCATTTATCAACTGAACTAGACTTTTATTTCTAGCATAATATCCTGCTTCTGGTACTACTGCTGCTGATGATGATACAGATATTAATGACTGAAGTATAAGGGTAAGATTAAGATAGATATCTTAAGTTTATGTATGTAGACTGAGTGTTTGAATGATAGACGATAACCAACTTCTGATTACGTTTAGAAGAAAACTTTATATATTTAGAGATTTGTTTCCAGATAGAAGTATTAAGAAAATGTCTATCAATAATATACATATACTTAAGAAAAGAATGGTCAATTAAATTATCTGATAATTTTGTTAACTGACTGAAAAATCGATGATCAGTTAATGACAGGATATTTAGTTATAAGCTAATTCAAACCAAAGATATTTATGCCATAAATTGAATAATATACTAGCAACGTCACAATCGATTGATCACTGGGTGGTGATCAATTTCATGTGTGTCAAGTCCTTATTTAGTGCAGATCAAATGCTATCGACCAGGTTGCAATGTGACCACCAGTCTAGGTGACTCCGCCAGGGAGCACCAGTTCCCTCAAGATTACAGGTACACCTTGCTGACGAGTGCCAAGTAGCACGAAACCCGGGTCCAGGGTTTCCTATCGACTACCTCCAACCACCATCTAATTTCAATACTAGCAATGTGTTAGATATTAAAAAAAGTTCTTGCCTTGATTCTGTTTTTAAAACTTAGAGTGTACAACTAATTTTATCTACATTAAAAGTAAAGTGGAATATCTCTTTCAATATACTTTTAAAGTTCTGTTTAAAATATTAGTAAAGAATAGAAAACTACTGAGTAATTAAAAGTTTCCCTAGTAATTATATATGTATATGTATATATGTATAGTCATATATGTAATGATAGTGATGTTCATGAAACACATAAAATCTTAGATGGAACTTTGAACTATGTTAGTAAACTAAGTATGATCACTCCAAAAATCTAATAATATCATTTCTATAATAGTTTAACAAAACGATACTAGAAACACTAGATATTCACTACTTTTAAAAAGAGGTCGATTGATTTAAATCGATAGTGCAAGAATATAATTTATTTTTTAAACACAAGTTACCATAAATATGACTGGTTACTTTAAGTTTCTTGGAAAGACTCCTAGTAAGTTGGGTTTTCAAAGTACCTCATAAAGCTTCAAGACATGATTCTCTTTAAAAATAAAAAGAACTCAGTGAAGAAAATTTTCTTTTCGATGAAATCATTTACTTAAGCTGTACATTCATAATGATAGTTATATGGAAAATATATGTCTATAGAAGGATAGGAAAGATTGCATCATAAATTGATTCGAGACTCTTATTACCGACAGTACAAAAGAAAACTTTTTATGAATATGGAATTTGAAGGAGATACGGCTACTGACATCGTAAATAAAAGGATTTTAAAGTCGTTGAATAAAACCTTCTACTCAGCTAATCTCCGAATTGATTTCTCGAGCCGGCCTAACATTCACGAATGTGTTAAAGATAAACCTCCGCTTTGAGCCACATCAAATTTACTTACTCATGTGGGGCAGGTAACATCGACCACACAAAGCAATCACACTCCAAACGCTTTAAAATGAGAATGCAAAACAATTACCAGTTCAATACAGGAACATTTAATCAACTGTGGACACATCGCTCTAAAGGAGTCTTCTTTTAAAGTAATTTACACAGCCAAAAGAATTGGATCAAAGAGAAGTCGAATCAATATTTTATGCACTGCTGAGGCATTGGCAATCCACGAACTCAAGCCCGAACTTTGCATGCAGAACCATTCGCCTAACCTTTCATCCTTCCTTGGCCCTAATTCCCTATATTGGTATGTTTGGATTTTTTTCTTTTTTTCTTCGTTTTCGTTTAGTTATCTTTTAAATTATTGTTTCGTAGTTTCGAACTCTAATCAGTTATTGTTATTACCTTTAAACAAGTTTTACTGATTATTATTCAATTTTTATTATTATGACCTTTATGTTTATGGTTTTTCTTCATATCTGTCAATTGGACAATTATTTGACCCGTAAATTAGTTTCATCTTTATATTCCTTCCTTACCCCTTGATTATTGCGTAACCTAATTTAATAATAAGAATCTATGATTAAATTATGATCCAATCTTTTCTAACCTTGTATAAAGATATATTGTCCATACAACTATCAATATGAATGTACAGCTTAAGTAAATGATTTCCTCGAAAAGAAATTTTTTTCGCTGAATTATAAATGAATAACTCCAAATTCTTTTGAGCGAAGATGGATGGTGGCTAGCAGGGGAATCTTGTTTCGTTCTATTAGGGACTCATTAACTGAATGTACCTGCATACCAAAGTTGATATTCACTCTAGGACTCAAAACCAATAACATTCACTTCAAACCCCATCGCGTTATCCATTCAGCTACTGAGTCCTGCTAGCCACTTGCTTGTGCAATGAGATGAAGTTTAAATTCACTTGGTATTGTTTACTTGAATATTCCCATTGATGATTAAGATTGCAATTGATCAGTCTCTTATTGGACTCAGTAGCTAAGTGAATAACGCGATGGCGTTCGGAGCGAATGGGACAGGGTTCAAGTCTCAGAGTGAACATCGAATCTAAGATGCAGACACATCCAGTTGATGAATCTCAAATAGGATGAAACGCTTGTCCTAGATTCCACTACTAGCCACCATCTATCTTTGCTTATAATACTTGTGAATTAAGGCACTGTCGGGGCAATACGCACAGTATGCACATATGTTAATAATAAACTGATCAACTGCAGTCCTAATCATCAATGGGAATATTCAAGTAAACAATATCAAGTGAATTTAAACTCTAAATTCTAATTTTATAAAATAAATTTAGTTTTTTGTTGTAAACCACGTTAATTTCAATATTTCATATAGTCACCAACACCTTATCTTACTACTACATCAAATACTTATGTCTAAGTCTGTCTTGATGTGCTAAAACTGATCGCTATTCATTCTTTAAACTTAATCTTTGAACATATATTTTAGTCAGTCAAAAACGTATATTTCAAAAAAGATGACTTTTTCGACTGGGAAAATAAAACACATGTGCCTACTGAACCAAAATGTATTAAGAAATACTTGCCAATAACCTTCTTTGTAAATAATATGTCTGAGAAGATTGAAGTTTGATAAGCAAATATCTTACAGTCATTTATCTTAAATGCATTTTAATCATGATTAATTCTCCGTTTGAATTTTGTACATTAATTGGTTAGTTTCTTAAGAATAACTAACTTCTTTCTACTAGTTATTCTGTCTCTTGAATCTATTATTTTATTCATTCAGTATTTATGCGTAATAGTTCCTTAGTTGCATGTTACATCAGTTTTTGGCAAAGCCAATTGTAAACTTACAAACAAACATACAATAATTGTTGACAATTTCTCTATTAGTCAAAATCGGAATGACATAATATGCCGTCTACAAATATCTATAAAGCTTGAATGTGTTTATTGCATTGTAAAACAGAATATTCATTTACTATTCCTAGTAATTAGAATGTAAGTGATTTTTATGTATAGCCCAATGAAACTATGAAGAAATGACTTACATTAAGTCATTAAACATCAGAAATACAATTTCCTACTCATTAGAGTATCACAAAAAAAGATATTCATTATTAACTTTCTACCCAATATTCAATTTCTATGTTAATATCAAGTCCAACCCGCGCCATTGATACCTATAGAGTAATAAACAGTTTATAGATTTTCTCTTATTTACCATTTAGTTAAGTTGAACTTATTATTTTAAATGTAACAGCCTAGATTGATGCACAAATAAGTCAGATTGTCTGTTGTTTTTTGTAACTGTGTTAGTTTTTTTTACTGAAAATTGAGTTAAAAAAGGCGTGTTACTAACAACATATCACTGACAACCATAAATTATGTTACAAACAATCTCTTCATAATTATTGAAAGAAAGTTTCTTGCTGATATTTGATCAACCATTTAAACAAATACCAAAAATTAAATGGGGCGGAAACCTGGAGAACTACGAAAGCCATCATTCAGAAGATACAGGTGTTTATTAACAGTTGTCTACGCAAAATACTTCGGATCCGTTGGCCGGACACTATTAGCAACAACCAACTGTGGGAAAGAACAAATCAGATCCCAGCGGAGGAAGAAATCAGGAAGACTGGTTGGTAGTAGATAGGACACACATTGAGGAAAGCATCGAACTGTGTCACAAGACAAGCCCTCACACGGAATCCTCAAGGCCAAAGGAGAAGAGGAAGACCAGAGAACACATTACGCCGAGAATTGGAGATAGACATGAGAAAAATGAACAAGAATTGGATGGAACTAGAAAAGAAGGCCCAGGACAGAGTGGGTTGGAGAATGCTGGTCAGCGGCCTATGCTCCATTGGGAGTAACAGGCGTAAGTAAGTAAAGTAAATCTGATCATTTGATATATTTAATTAATATAGAAAATTGAAAGTAATTACATAACTTATAGATTATTTACATAGAATTAGGTACCATATGTTATGTATTATGCTGATTATTAGCATAGTTTTGACAATTTACATTACCTGTTCAAGTAAGGCAAGTTGCAGATGAGAATATCAACAGATCTAAAACTTAGTTTTTGAATTACTGTATATTGTTTTAAAATATATTTAGCTTAAGTGACGGTGATACTTACAATTTTATTAACAC